TATAATTATAGTGGATTTGCAATCGAGTGCGAGTGTTAACAGTTTTTCTATATGTATGCAGGAATACTTATAAAAATCACATTAATTAGGCAAACTTGTTATTGGTAAGGTTATTTGTTTGTTATTAACTTGATGCATAGACACTTACGTATGTATTTATATACTACATACATATATATCATGCATATGTATGTATAATGAAAGGCATTGGGACTTATGTAAACATTTTTTTTTTATCAAAATAGTTATGTACATATAGCAAACGATTTTGCCGAAATCTCAAGAAGTGAAGGCATTCAACAAAACTGCTATAATTTTAATAGCCAAATAAGAGAATTTGATTTTTATTTTTCGTTGAAGAATAATTGTGTATAACTTACAAGAATTTCAAATGTAATTTTCCTAAAAATATATAAAAAAATGTAATACCCTAAAAATTAAAAAATAAAATGTAATTTTGGTTCAACAATCTCTCATATAACATTTAAATTTATTTCATGGGAAATTTTTCTTCGATTTGGGGGAGCCCTACAATTATTCTCAACGAGTTTTCATTATTAAGAGCAATAGAATAATCGAGTTTCTTCAAAATTGCTACTTTCCCTGCAATTTGCACAAACAAAAAACAATTGCTTAATTTTAATTCATACGGCCCAATAAGTGAAAATATTTTTAATATAATTTATTTGTCGCGAGTAAGTATTTTCTTTGATTTAAATGAGAAAATTGTAAAATAGTTAAAGTAAAATTATAGATTATAAAATGATATGTCATTTTGGGATAGACAAAAAGAAATTGTAAACAACTTTTTCAAATCCCTTGCAACTTTTTCATCATTTTACCTGCTTAATCGAATGCAGTTGGTCAAATCCAGTTCATTTACAATTTTTCGAAATTTGTCGCACTTTTTTCGCTGTTATGGAGTACGCAAATATAATCCTCAATCGGCAGTTGGCTTCCTTCAATTCTTCCAAGACTAGCAGAAGGTATGTTGTATACGTATTGCTGTGCATCACTCAGAATTTGTAAATATATTTACATTGCTCAACTCGTGCAGTTGCGTCCACTTGTGTGATTGCTTGATCTGCGGACAAATTTCTTTCGGAACATGGCTCCTATAGAGAGTATCTTCTAAAAAGATTTGGCCATGGCGATTGCCCACACTGCCCGACTTGCACCGGTCTTAGTGAAAACGCGAAACACATAGGGCTGGTTTCTCCAACTCAACTTAACTTAGTTTAGCCATTTGTTGGAGTCAAAAGTTAGCCTACTTTTTATTCAAATTATTCTTGAATAAGTCCAAAAAATTGGCTAAACTAAGTTAAGTTGAGTTGGAGAAACCAGCTGATAGTATTCTTTTGTGCTCGCTATGTCTCTAAAACTCAAAACATACCGCAGGGTAGAAACGTTGTAGACTACAGAGAACTGTCGTGAAATATGCGCACATATCTCTAGAATTCTGAAAGATTTAAGTTTATCTGAACAAGTTAGAACCGCTTAAATATCATAGCGAGCCTATTGACCAACCAATAGTGCACCGGCATTATAGCACTCATGAGCTCTTCACAGTCATCATGTGTTTTGGCACAACTGCCGTTCTTGGGCGACGCTAAAAAAAAAAAATAGTCTGCTGTAAAATTTCAAGTCTTCAAATCAAATTACCAAAAACATATGTATGCAGTGGCGGATTTGAATATTTGTCACCCCTAGGCAATTTAGAATTTGCGGCCCTTTTTCCGATGAGGAAAATATTTTGAGGTAAAAGTACCAGTTATGGAACGACTAGCAGTAAATAGTAATATTCAAATTTATATTATTTACCAAACTTTTACTACAATTCAAGATGAAAAAGTGGTATTTACCTTGCGTTAAGGTTTTCAACTTCTAAAGAAAGCCATCATCGACAAACTTTTTTCACTTGATAAGTTATAATCTCAAAAATTCTAAATTCGTATTTTTATAATATTAAAAATACCTAACAGTTTTGTCTAATTTTTTGATTGTGTAATTGATTCTCAAATTTTTGTTTTAAAATGTACAACCACAAATTCTGCTTTCAGTGCAGCTAAGGTGAAAAAATAATAATTTAACTCAAATTTTGCCGCCCTAGGCACCTGCTTATGTTGCCTTTACGGTAAATCCGCCACTGTATTACATCCGCCAGGCGCATCGCTTAAAATGCAACCTAGATGTCATCACGCAAATTTATATTTTGAGAAACTCGTGAAATGCCTAAAAAAAGACTTCGATCAAAACTAAAAAAAAAAGCATCAGGATACCTTCTTTCCTATTCACACAAACTCAGGTATTCTGGTAATTAAATGTCTTTGTTTGTTTTTTGTTTTTGTTGTTGTTTATTATGTAATATGTTTTACTGTTAATTTTAATGTTTTAGCGGTTTTTAGAAGTATGTAGTACATATATGTGTGTGTGTGTGTGTGTGTGTGTGTGTGTGTGTGTGAATTTCACGCATTATAGATATGTGTTTTTCTTAACCATACATACATACATATGTATGTATTTATTTATATACAAACATACCATATATGTATAGTAGTTAGTATGTAAAAAACTTATGTAAGCACTTAAATATCAATGTTGCACATTCTATGGACACTTTTATGCGACAGCAATGAAAAAAAAAANTATAGATATGTGTTTTTCTTAACCATACATACATACATATGTATTTATTTATATACAAACATACCATATATGTATAGTAGTTAGTATGTAAAAAACTTATGTAAGCACTTAAATATCAATGTTGCACATTCTATGGACACTTTTATGCGACAGCAATGAAAAAAAAAATGCTGTCTTAGTTACGTTAGAAATTCCTAAAGTAGTTACAACTAAGTAAGTAATTACATCTTATATAAGCTGCCTTTAACGTTATATTGAAATAAAATTTTTACGTAAAAATAAAATGCTTCGTTTGTCAGTGTTGAGCGTTGTATTTTCTCATAACTCTTCAAGAGTTTCGTTGCACGCCTTTTCCAATCAACTACGAGTACATCCAAAACCTTGCCTGCCTTGCCATTTGCAATTATAGTATTTAGTCCAGAAGGTAACGAACATTACAAGTACTTGGAAATGTAGTGCTTTTGTATGAGACGACCCGATTTCTTTTTGCATACATAAAATCGTATTAACTGCTAATCGTTGAAGTTGGAAGTCTGTGGTGGGACTCTTGGATAGAGCTGTAACGAAAGAAAAAAATCAGAAATAAGATACATTCAAACAAATACTAAATCGGATTTTTCAATATTCATAAAACTCTAAAAAATACTTTTTATTTTCCAAACAAAATGCATATGTAGTGGAACCCAATATGTACGAGTATATCCTAATATATATTTGCTTGGTTTAGCTTAGGTTAGAATAAGTGGTAGCCCGGCGAGGGACACATTTTGACGTAGTTTTTATTGCACATTGGGATAGCATTGAATATAATTTTTAATACCTAGCCTAGCAAAGGTAGAACAGCTGAGAAGCAAATGCTTGGATTGTTCCAAGATATCTATCGCCCAACAGAAGCGCTTACCTCAAAACCTTGCATTCCGAGTCCGCTACAAGAACATATTTTCAGGGATAAGTCAAGGGGAGATAATCGCTAGGTTGTCTTACCTAGCAAATTAAATTGCCCTATAGAATCCTGTAATATCGATTTGGCTTAATATCCAAACCAGCCTGACTTGAAAGCCTTCTCAGGCGACCTAGGTATTCCCCAACCACTTTCGACTTAAACTTCAGATCTACGGAGAGTACCCGACAAAACACATCTTCTTTAACGGTGATAGGTAACAAGAGGTCCATTGACACTATTTCGCATACTGGTTCGAAATATAGTAAATTGGCATTATTACCTTGGAGCGATTTGTGTAGAGAAGATCTATTTCATCCATTGTTCCGTTAAGACTAATATGGGATTTAAGTTTATTTTATTTACAACCACTGTATTTCCATTTTTAAGTTTGAGCGCTTGGGTTGGAGTAGTGTACTTTAAATATTCCAAATTGTTTCTGTGAAGGTCTAGATTTCAACAATCTTTATCACCATAACAATGTACGGCTGCAAGCCACACAAGTGGTCCAAACAAATCTTGGTGGTACCGGATGGGAAAGTCCTAATCCACCTACCTTTGGTCCATATCTTGCACCATCAGACTCCAATTGTTCCGGTTGATGCAGAACGCCCTTTCGGGAGTACATTTCACTTCAATTGAAGTGTATTTAAAATTGGCTTTGAACTTTATTGGTCTCCAATGACGGGTAGTTTTATTGTCGCGGAATCCAAGCGATACCAGAAAAGTGGGTAACAGTCAGCTAGCGATGGCAGTAAGATACATTAAAAATGAAAATTTAGATCATTAAAAAAAAAACCGTTTAATACCTGTCATAAGGTCTTCACAATTGGGATATAGCGCTAAGGTTAATGAAATATCTTCTTTGCCACCGATTGAGCTTTCGACAGCAGCAACCCATCTTATATAACCCCTACCTAAGCACATACTAACAAAATTAAAGGTTGCGTGTTTTTATACTCGTGCGAAGTGAGAGCTCAGTAAAAGGAGCACGATGGACCCGAGCAGATAGCGGGCGCTCATACCTTTCCTGTTTAGGCCGGTGATGATCAGAGAGAGCTTTTGCTCTCTGGGAGTGCATATAAAATATATAGCAAGCTTTTGAAAACTGTGCCCGCGGGATATGTTTTGGTCATGTCTCAAGACTGGTTTAGATCGTTGATACGCTTCATCCTCACCGCGCGCATAGCTTCGTTAAACTTTCGATAAATTTGGTTTAAGCATACGCATGCATAAAGCTCTGGCTACTTCAGGCTCTTCTTCGTCACTACATAATGAGAAAAGCTATTGTTGAGGTCTCTTTAGCTTTGCAGTTCTCTCTCTTTTTGAATGTGACCGTAAAAAAGGTCAAAAGCTGAGAAAATTTATTTGATCAAGAGGTTTTAATAACTGTTTTGAAGAATCGATACCAGGGAGAGGTTGGAGTTTCCTCTCAAGAATACGAAAATAGAGTGTTTGGACAGAAGTAATCGTATTATCAAACCCCAGGCTTGAAATTGTAGAAAACCCATGCCCGTTTTACCTGCTACTTTTACAAATTTATAAATATATATATATTTTCTTTTTCAAACTCACCCCCAGCAGATTTCTGGGCACATAGCCCTCCCCATCGTTCGCATTCTTTGCCCACCACCATTCACTTTCGGCGTCGTCGCCCTTTCGCAGGATAACCAAACGATCGTTGACTTGGAATGTAAGTTCGTCGCTGTTTTGAGCATCGTACGAGAATACTGCATACACTTCGCCATTATGAAGTATACCAAGTTTCTCTTGAATACCTGCAGAAGAAGAGGGGTATAAAAATGAGTTTGATGCATTCACTAAACGCGCACAAGCTGCCACACACTTACTGTATAAGTATTCGGAGCAACCATCGAAGCCCTCCTCATCTTCTTCGCACTTCTCCGCTGGCGTTTCATGGTCGGACAGCGTCGAAGCAAATAGGCAAGCGCCATTCTCAACTAAGAACTTCACCATGGACAAATTGTTGCAACTAGCCGCACAATGCAGTGGCGTCCAGCCGTCGGAATCTTGTGCATTCACATCGCAGCCAAATTCGACGAGGAACCTGTAAAGTACGGAGACCACAATATATCTAAAAAAAAACCCAAGATTCTCAATGCCACTCACTTGACTATGTCAAAATGACCCGCACAAATGGCATTGTGCAACGCAGTGATGCCCTCATCATTGGCTGCGCTAGGATTTGCCACCTGCATTGCTGTCTTCTTCACCAACTCCAACTCGCCCTCCAAGCTGGCGTCGAGCAGCAGAGCCAGCGGATCGAAGCTTACACGGCGCGCCAGCTTTGGTTTACCATTGCTGGTTGCCGCCGATGAGAGTGAAGAAGTTGTTGGCGCGCTGCCGGTGGAAGCCGCGCGTCGCTTTGGGCCGCTGCTAGTGTCGGTGATGGTGTCACTGCCGCTTACGCCTTCACTATTGCGCTCAATTTTGTCCAGTTCATCCATGCTGGAACTGGATTGCGAATTGCTGTTGGGCGAATGTTGCGGTGGAGCGTTTGCTGCTGCTGACGGCACTTGTGGTGGCGAATACTGTGGCGGCTGCTCGGGTGAAGAGGCGTCCGAAGATGTGACGCTGTTAGCTGTGGCCGAGCGATTGTTATTCATGTTGCTCGTTGTACTGCTACTAGGCGCGCCACCACCATTCCCGCTTTCTTGTGCATCTTTGCTGCGCTCGCCTTTGTAACTGCCATCCGCAGGATAGAGAAAAGATGCTCCAGCTGGTGGTTCCACTTTACGCGCAGCTTGTAACGGCGGCTTGGGCACGCTATTACCAAGCTTCAGACGTGGTTGCTCGCACATAGGCTGCTTGCGGATTGTTAGCGGTTTCGCTTTGATCGGTAGATTATCGTTGATGTTGAGCGTTTGCAAACCTTGTGCAGCTTGTTGTAATTCAGCAGCGGCAGAGGCGGCGGCTGCTATGGATGCCGCATGCACGGCAGGCTTCTTCAGCATCGATGTTGACGAAGTTGTTGTTGTTGCAGTCGTTATGTTTGAAGCGGCGCTCGTGCTGTGATCACTAGCATGCTCTGTGGGTGATATTTTGCTTGGCTTGGGTGGCAGAGCGGGTCGGTCGGGATACGCCGAGTTAGCTGTCGGCGCCGCTGCAGTTGTCGTCGTGGTCGCTGTGGCGGACACCACGTGAGGCGCAACGCGGTTCACCTTCGGACTGTAGGTGATCATTTTCGGTATTGAGCTGGTCACTGAGGTGGGTGCCACACTGCTAATGGGCTTGCGCGGCGGAATCGCCAGCCCACCAGAAGCATGTGCTTGCAGCGGCTTCGGTTTCGCATGCACGCTATCCGGTCCGCTGTTAGTGCTTGTGGTTGTTGTCGCTGACGCGCTCGCATGCGCAACACCGGTAGCGAGTGACTTATTAGCTGCGCCCAGCGGCATGCTATGTACAGTCAGTTGTTGCTGTTGTTGTTGATTGTGCTTTTCGGGTAGCGCTTCGCTAGCGGCGCCTTCGCATCTGCGCTCCAGTTCGTTGCGTTCCCTGACAGATGCCGCTGCGCTATTCAATTTGCTGATCATGGCGGTTGCCGAGGTGGCGGAGCCGATGCTCTTCGGTATTTTACTACCGATTGTAGTTGTGGCGGTAGTAATGGCGCTTGTTGTAGTTGTGGAGCCAATCGCAGCTGCCGCCTCAGCAGCGCGCGCAGCTGCCTCTGCGGCTTTGGCCGCTTCCGCTGCCTTCAGCAGGTCACGCTTCTTTGGGCCCACTTCGGCGTAGATATGCATCGATGTGTCCACTTCCACCGGCTTAGGTTGCTCTGCGCTCTTATTGGCCGCCAGCGATGCGGTCAGCATTTTCTTCGCCAGCTTTGATTCGTCGCTCTCACCGCTGAAGAACGCTTGCGCGTTTGTGGAAATCGCTCCGCCGCTGTTGAGCGCATGTACATTGGCGGCGGCGCCGCCTTGTGGACTGTGCGTCCCAGTAGTCAGATTGAGCTTCATGTGTGTCAAGTCCTGTATCAGCTGATTTTGCTGATTGGTGTTGGCCGTGGCGGCTGCGTGTTTCAGTATATTGCCTGCGCCCAAGTAACCGCCACCGGGCGCTGACTTCTGCGGCGTGTGTATGTATGGCTCAACGGCGGCCACGTTGCCGCGTGGTATGCTCCGACTCGGCTCACGATTGATGCTATTCGGGAACTTGGAGGAGTTGTGTTGCTGCTGTTGTGCAGCAGTTAACAGATTATTCGCTTGCTTCTGCAACAATTGCTGCTTGAGCGCTGCCACGCCCTGTTTGTGTTGACTGCTTTGTTGTTTGTGGTTGTTATAGGCAACATTGGTGTTTTGGTGGTTGTAGGCATGCGCCGGTGGTTGGTGTGACTGATGCAGCTGTGATGCAGATTGTTGGTGTTGTTGCTGCTGCTGCTGCTGTTGTTGTTGTTGTTGCTGGTGCATATCGTGCGTTGGCAAGTGTAGTTGATTTTGATTTTGCGCATTATTTTGTATGTTGGCGGCTTTTTTGCGTTGCAGTCGTGTCTGTAGCTCGTAAATACGTTGGTCAACTGAGCGCAGCTCAGCCTGTCGCTGTTGCAATGCTTCACGTTGTAGATGCAGGCGTGCATCTTGTTGCAGCGACAACTGGTTACGATACTAAAAATTGGGTTGAGAGAATTTTTAGTGAAGGAGATGTNAGATTTATGGGACAGCGACGTTCGCGTCTTAATTCCTCCAGTTGTCGAGTAAGCGCCTCGACTTTCGCCACCGCCAAACTAAGCTCTTTCTCCTTCTCGCTGAAGAGTGCACGAATCGAGTCCAGATCGTTGCCTATGGTAAAAAAAAGATTTTGCATTTAATTTACCACCACGTACAGTTCTACAAAATGCTGAAATCTGATGAAAATTGGTAATATGTAAAACCTATAATGACATACAAATGGCAGAGCTGAGGACGATAACAGCAAAATTCATAGTTTTTAGAGGAAAAGTGTAGGAAATAGTAAACCACCTATTAGCATTGCTTTCGATGAAATGCAAGTACCCTGAAAATAAATACGACAACAAAGTGCTCTAGTTCATCCTGTGCATCGGTTTTTAGCTCACACCATCTTGGATATTTAAAGGACCATGATTTGCGGGAATGTTCAGACCCCTAATGCGGAAGGTGTCTCTTCCCGGCTGAATGATATCCTCGTTAAGACAAATTTTGACATCAACACCATCCAAGAAACACCACGGACGGGCAAGACAAGCAATGAGTTGGACCTTCCGATGTTTACTACAGCTGCCACGTAAAGCAGCACAAACTCGCTGTTGGATTTTGAGTCGGATAGAGACTCCGTCGCCGAGTACTGTCATTCACCCCGCACACACAATCCTCATCAAATCGAGATTCTTCAACATCTTGCAAATTTTTGTCCACAAGGCGCAAGGCCATGGTGGGCAATGAAGGCATCTTTGGCCCCACATTCAGAAAACTCAGTGTCTTCGAAAAAACATCCGATAACGAACTGAGGCTGATAGACTTCACCAGGGGGGCTTGAAATATGGTAGTACGCGGTACTAGATTCCAGCATAAAAATACCCATCAAGCTACATAGCTGTGTCTAGATCGAAAAATGCGAAAACAAATCGATCAGGTTGTCACAGATGTAAGGCACGCTTCCAGTATTGTAGACGTGCGTACATTCGGAGGGCCGCACATCGACTCGAACTCCTATCTTGTTGCAGCCAAGATACGCACCCGCCTCGGCGTAGCAAAAAATGTGCGTCCAATGCAAGCTCATCGAAAAGCTACAATCGCCACTCGACTATCACATCTCACGCTCTCATGGAGCACTCCTCATCAAACCGACATGTAAAAGCAGTGGAACCACATTTTCTTCTCCTTACGTACCGCCGCCAAGGAAGTATTCGGATTTCTGCGAGCTCAAATGGACAACTGCAACGATGAGGAAGGTGAAGAAGCTACAGCGAAAGAAAGGTGCCCCCTTCAGGGCTACGCTGCGATAGCTGTAAGGGATCGATATAGGAAGTTGATGGAGGAAGTTGAAGAGGGAAGCGAGACGTATTTGCCGTAAAAAGAAGAGAGATTCTGAAACTCGGAAGTGCGAAGAGCTTAAAATGCTGGCCGAGAGGAAAAACGCCCGAAAATTTTGTCAGACAGTTAGACGACTTACGGAAGGTTTCAAGACCAGGGCAAACTCTTGTAAGAACAACAATAACGACCTAGTGACCGAAGTCCGCAACGTGCTTAAATTATGGAGAGAAAACTTTTCCGCCCTACCGAATGCCAGCTGCACTGAAAATAGCGGAGAAGACGAAACCGAGCCTCAGTCGTTTACGACGAAGTGGATGTCCCACCACTTGACTACGACGTGGTACGGAGGTACGAAGAGAAATTACGTGGCTGAAAAACAACAAGGTTCCTGGAGCAAATTTGGCATTTTTAGTTTTCTACTTTGCATTTTTTCTACCTATTTATCGCCAATACGAAACCTAATATCTGAAGATAGTTTGCAGCTGTGGTCCTGCCTCTATAGTGCTTAGGGATACATTAAGTCGGTTGGAGGCTTTCTATTTAATATTTTTTGTTTTGTTTTTTACCGCGGGTACACTACTGCTTTCAGTAAACGTGGAGGATAGCAGTGCCTTTTAACCAAATCACATTTCCCATTTAATGGCTTTAATCAGCGTAGAAATCATTACACGATCGCATAAATATACATTACCAGTCTACTTACTAAAGCTTTACGCCGCCTAACATTCGGTATACCTAACCCGCCCAAGCATTCCAGTAATTACAACTTAATGGGACGTATAACTTAATACATTTAATTTTAACGCTTTCAAGTCACGAACCCCAAAATATCAAAACTTTTCCCATATTCACACGAAAATTATTATATGGCGAGCCGCATCTACATAATAGCTATTTAGTGCCCACTAAATGCGCGCACCTACTGACAGACCCATGTAGACTGTACCAGAACACGTTGCATAAATTAATACCACATCATATCAGAGAAAAGTTTTAACCGCCGCTTTTCGCTTTTGAATACTCGTCAACCGCCATTAACATTTTAATTAGTTAACAGCTTTAAAGGTATTATGAACGGAGTTGGTGATGGCAAATCCCAATTTGTGGCGGCTGTAGCAACCCATAATCCAGTCGCGCTCGCCTCGCACCCCACAGTGCCAAACTAATAATAAATAGTCAGCTGTACGACGTTTGGCGTAAGGTCACACAGCGTAGTTAGATATCATTGGCAGCGGTAGACTTGCGGGTATGGGTATATGTATGTATGCAAATATGTAACTATAGTTCACTAATTTTACTCAAAGAAAACGTTGCATACTTTTTTGCTTCGGCAAGCGGCAAGCAGGCTAGCGCTGACGAGCTGTGAATGCGAGTCGTGCCGTGCCGGTTATAATCCGCTTAGCAAGGATTTCGTCTACCTAAGGATTCGTGTACTGGTGTTCAGGTTCAAGTGCTGTCCGCAGCACATCAGGCAGATGCTACACATACTATATATATGCTATCTGATAAACGAGAATTGGCATGATGGAATGTAAAATTTTATGAGTAGCAACTGTAGAGCACGAGTGCGTTAGTGTGTGTGAGTAATATTAGGGCACGCGCAGCGTAATGACGATGTATGGGGTAAGGGCATATAGCGCCATCTGCCTAACTAACAAATCCAATTACCGTTGAGGAACATGATGTTGAACAATGCTAAGAGCCAGCAGCATAATCCTGCTGTAGCAACAACACAAATGAATAGAAGGAGCAGCAATTGCAGGAAGCATTCTGCTGTCGAGCGTCAAAAGCAGGAAGTGATAGCGCAGAAAGGAACAGAGAAACGCAAAAACAACGTAGAGGCAGAAAATTAAATTTTCATAACTTTGCAACATGCAAATCATGAATTTCTCGCTTCGCGCGTAACGTCTACTAGGTTGTTTCTGTTTATGATTTTGACGCTGACTTTGACCCTAACCTATGCTAGCTAGTACATACTTACTCGCATAAAGCTCATTTAAAAATACTCTGCATCGTGGAACGTCTGACCAAAGCACTTTTGCATGTCCAATTTGCCGAAAACTGTGCTATGGGGATTTTTGCCGTCATAACTGCCATGGCCACTCAACGTGGCCGCTGTGTGCCCGCTGGCGCATGACAAGTTTTGAGAAGGTTAGAGGCATGCGGCATGCGGCACATGATGCCGCCGCCGTGCTGCACCAGCCAAGGGCGCTTAGTGGCAAACGGAGCCAAGAGCCAATGTGTACCACACTCCTCACAAAATCCCACAAAAGCTCAAATGTACAACGCGCAACCAAGCAAAAAAGCTACTGACAACGGGCAAATAAATATGTTTATTACAGCGCATAATAACAGCCACTTTGCATACGCGCTTGCCATTCCAGCGCACACATACATACAAAAATACATAAAAAANTATATATACATATATGTATGTATGAAGATGGGAGTCAGTTGTTGCCACAAGCGTGCCGTGCACAGGTATGCAGGGATGAGAGTTGCGGGTGGCAGAATGTTAATTTCATCAGCAAAGAGAATCGTTGTGAACATATCAGCAGTGGGCGGACGATGACGGTAGTGGTTCGGCAGGTGGTAGGCAATTTGGCGAAGCGCGAATGCGTAGATTCAATTTGAATTTTATTGATGTTGATAGCGATAGTAATGGTGGCGTAGTTGGCGCACAGTTGATGATGGCATTGCCGTTGATGTTGACGTTGATAAGCCCAGATTTGCGAGTGCGTGTGTGCGTGTGCGCGTGTGTGTGAATGTTGGAGGAGCAAACGCATTGACGTTCATTAAATCATTGTTGTGATTCGCGTGGTGGCGGCGCCGTAGCATAAATGAAATGAGAAGAGATAAGGAAAGGAAAGAGAAAATGAAAATACATTTAATGAAAATATTGAGCGTCGGAATTATGAACCGAGCAATAAGCTGTAATAATAACTACGTATGTGTATAAAAAGTAAGCTGCAAGTCAATCAATCAAAAGCAATTTAAACAACAATAAAAATTAAAATTAATATAATAAAGTAATTGGTGGGAATTAAGTGACAGCGATTGGGGTAAGTTTACTTGGCGGGGTAAAATTAAGCACAAAACTTTTACATTAATTGACTTCCATGGGGAGTAAATAACTTTTCTATAGCTATGAGTGTGTCTGTTTGCAGTCAATTTTTTTTAAAGGAACTTAAAATAAACAACGTATCCAACGGTGATGAAGACGATGATTTTTCGCACGCCCTCCACGGCGTATGCGGCGGATAAGGATAACGTGCTGGGCCAGTAGAAGATCGCTTGTCGAATTAAAAAAGGTAAGTTTTTTTATGTATAAGGACGAATAAGTATTACAAATGTCATTAAAAAATTTTGCCCTTGTAAATTCTAGAAAATTTGCAAAATAAATTTAAAAAAAATTACATGTTAAAGATTAATACATCCTATATCTAATAGTCCTAGTAATTTTATTAGCTTTAAAAATAATTAAAAAGGCTTTTGCAACAGCTATTCCTCCTTTTGACCTAAAAATTTTAATCCTAACGAATTTTCTCTTTCATGTGGACCATATTGTTATTCTACATGGCACTGCATTTTTTTGGTATTAATTTAACCTTTAACCTTTAAAAATCCTAACATCAGAGAGAAAACTTAAAACGCAGTTGCACTATCATTTACCCCATGCTTTGTAAACATATTAATTTTTTCGCGTGTTTTAAAATTTTTTGGTTTTTTGTCGCACGGTTTAATATATTTTTATAACAAAAATCTAAAGAATTTATGAACTGTGAAATAAAATACCAGGGTTCTTATAAAAAGGCTATAATATAAGGAATTTATTGATTGTTGCCGTATGTAAAAAAAAAACAAGTAAAAGAAAACTGCCTAAAAAGGATCAAGTGTGTTAG